AGCACCCAATTACTAATCTTGCTGTGACAACACAGCTATGAAACTTCTGACGTTTGGAACAAACTTGACGTACACGCCTTCTCAAGGTCATAGTTTACAGCACGCGCTATACGATTTCACTTTATAACAACTATAAACTTAATAAGTTGGGAAGCATTTTGCGAACCAACAAATGTTGTAATTTATAGATCATGCCTGTAAAAACGGTGTGCACCTGCACATGCAGAAATATATTATTATTATTATTATTATTATCTATCATGACTGCCTCAGGTTTTTGATAATGAATAGGTTCATTTAACATATTTTCCTCAGATTTGTAAGAAATTCCATCAGAAATATGTGAATCATTAGGAAAAGCCATACCTGGTACAAGAGCATGAGAATTCTGATAAATCGATTGGTTAGAAACTGTTGTTTCGCAAGAATTCTGAACTTGATAAAACTCTTAACTGCTTTGTGACTCTACACTGTCTGTTGCAATCGTTGATAAAGATAGATCATCATTATAAATACTCGACTCAGTAGAATCAGAATTACAAGTCTTAATGTTAGTTGCAATAAGATGAACATCAGTATTACGGACTGACTGAATATGTCTAATATCACCACATTTAAAGCACTTAGAATTACGAAATTTGCATGAACTAAAAGAGTGGAACTTGCCACAGGACAAACACTGACTAAACTTGTGCCCATCTTCGTGAAACGCATTGCAACTCCTCAATGAATTGTCTGCATAATCTTGGGTATGAACTGGGTTGAAATGACGTAATGTAGTGAAATTTTTTATATCCTCATGAATCATTTTACGAAATCTTCCTCCTTTACGACATTCGAAATTTGTATACTGAACATAGTCTAGCAGCAGTTCCTTGAGAGCTGTATAAGGAAGCGAAATGGGCTTTTCCGGCATAGCCAGAGTTCTTAATAAGCTGTATGCTTCTTTTCCAATGAATGTGAGGAAGTGTGCCACAATATTAACATCCTCATCATCTTCCTTGGTCATAGCCCAGATTTCGAACCTTTCAAAGTAATCTTTAAAAGCTCCCGAAGTTGAATGAATATCTAAATTTTTCATTACAGGCTCCATCGCGACGCCAGTATAATCTTTTGGATTATTTGAATTATAGTACGAACTGAGAGTCCCAGAAATAACGCAATTGAATTAAGAAGTGATACACAAGCACAAACGAATGTATTGTATTTGGAATTCGAAATCAAGCATTCAACAAGTACAAAGGTATCATTAGTTCATTCAAACACGCAGAATTATAACTTAACAGCTCTAGATACGCGAAGTTCGCTGTTTTAGGCAAGAATTTAAATGGAATGTTAGATAACTGTCAAGTTTCAAATGTTGGCAGTACTTTCTTCAGTTAGTAAAGTATTACTGAAATGAATAACGTTTTTTGACAATTACCCATTACTGTTTGTGCAGTTTCATATTCGAGAGGTATTTCAGTCAACGAAAGTGAGGCGTTTCAACGTATAACGCTGTACAGGACCTGAGTTCAATTCCATAGTGTTCTAAATGAGTTCCAAATAGCAGGAATGAGTAATTTCATACCCTCTCAGACTACCGATGCTCATTACATTCATGTCGAAATTAAATCACTGAATGACATGAGATTTAGAAACATGTATATGGTGTTTCAGTAAATATTTGGTCGTTAGCATAAACCGAAATGTTTTAGTGCCTTAAATGTGATTGGCTACCTATATTTTCAATTGCAGTCATTTAAAGCATTGAACGATGCCTTACCACAGTTCATAATTTGTAACTGCCTGATAAGCTTGTGAAATGGTACTTATAGAAATAGAGTTTTCAACAGGATGTGAAACACATAGCATCGCGTGAGGTATGATATATATCTAAAAAATAAGCCCAAACGAGTCTAACATCACAAAAGTAGTCAATGTGGATTTACAGATCAGCAAGCATTGATGGTAAGGGCGATGACTTCAATCCATCCATCTTTGTCAGGTGAAACATTTTGTTTGTATCAGGCTCTTTATGATCGAGAACAAGTCCATCAATATGTGATACACTCACCATTCAGATTCATGTTTCCAATATTATTCTTGATTAGCTATTCTATTAAGACAACCTATAACATGCCAACTCGGAATTCTACACTGGGATTGTGTGGCTGACATCGGATGGACAAAAAAAGAAATAAAAAATCAGATAACAAAAGATATAATTATTAGTATTCTTAACACTTCGCACTTTATATGCATACTCTCTTCTAATAAACCGCTTTCCTTGTACCAACCTTGGCTTCCCTTCCTTCGTGTGAGCTTACTCTAACTTGTTAAACATCAGAACTTATTGTTCTTTATTACTACATTCTGTTATATGGAGACTCTGACTTCATTTCACTCTAACTAGAGAGAGTATGAATTTAATCTAATTTATTATACCTCTGTCTGTTCTACTACAAAATGTTAAGCAACGTTTAGCGTTCATATCCAAGTGCCTTGCTGCTCGTCTGTTTCTCTGTTTTCTTCAAAATCTTGCTCTGAGGGCACGGATATGAAACTTCTGACTTCTGGAACAAACTTAACGTGCGCGTCACCTCAAGGTCATTGTTTACAGCAAGTGCACCAAGAGTCTACTTTATAACAACTATAAACTTAATAAGTTGGGAAGCATGCTGTGCGCCAACAAATGTTGTGATTCGTAGATCATCCCTGTAAAAATGGCGTGTACCTTCTCATACAGAAATATATTATTATTATATTCAGGAAAGATCTCGCACATATCTCTCGATAATCAGCGAACTCATTTCGTCGTAGTTGTTTCACTTAGTTGACCTGATGAAAATCAAATGAAGTTACAGCCTTAGGGTCACTGCTCGTACCACACAGTAGTAATTATGTTTTCAAATAATGAACTAAACAGTCATAGTAATGTTTATGTGTTAAAACCGAATCGATTCTGCGTTCCGCTGATAATGTAGAAGATAGTCGAACAATAAGTTCATAAAACGTGGTCACTGATTTTCCCGACCATTCATGTGGCTTTGCTCATGTGATTAAATGAAGTAAAAATCAAGAAGGGTATATATTAGTTTTCAGTTTACTTCGTGATTCACCAACATGCAGGTTTGAGCCGTGTGTTATGTTCTGTAGATGGCTGAGCTTAAAGATATCATAGATATTCAGAGTTTGACAACACTTTACCCTCAACGCCTTTATGATCGAAAGATACCAGTCCAGCCAAATCAGAAGTCAGAAGTGAAGAGATCAGAAGACATATTTTGTAAGTCATATATATGTCGAGAAAAGTTTGATCTAAGCTATCTAGTTGTTGCAAAAGATGCATAGCATGGCGTACTCACTTGTGATCAAGTGAAAATGCGTGATCGAGCGCCTTCAGCAATGGTATGTCCAGTCAAACCAATGACACCAGCACAAATGTTAGAGACTTACAGGACTATTTACTTCGGAGCTCTATTAACCTATGGCAGCGGTCTCGTTTGGCCCCGATTGTCATGTGTTTGTTTACTTGAGCTCAGAGAGGAGAATGTGTTAGGCGGGGTTGGTGTAGTCCCTCGTCTTGACATGCGTGTGATCCTCAATTCTGTCCCTAAAGTCCGGCGCAGTAGAAAAAGAGTTGAATTTCGAGAACCTTAGTTTCAAAAGCATTATAATCATTCATCTAATCTGAGAAAAGGTTTTCAAGTGTGGTAAATTAGTTTAATTACGGAAAGTGCCTTGATATGACAGAGTCATACGTTGCTTGTATCAAATTGGAACGTATTTCAAGTAGTGCTATGTTTGTAGCCATTAGGAGTCCACCTAGTCTGCGAACGGAACAAGACTCTGTGACCAAAGACCAATAAGCTAGCTATTCTGATGCGCCCCAGCCCCGTTCAAGTTCGAAACGAGGAAATACATTCTGCAAGTAGCCGGAAGCACGAGCAGTCATGACCCATCTAGTCGGAAATATATTCATTTGTATATTAGTTTGTAGACCCATTTTTGATTAATAATCAGAATAAATCAGGTATTGTGGTGGACCAAAAAATATATCAACTCAAAAATAGTAATAAAGTTATTACGTATAAACTGTTACGTCATGATATGTCAGTTATAAGTTATCAACACAATTAAAAATTTAGAGACGTTACTTAGATCAGCAAAGTTGGGCGTATTCGGGTTGTATTTGGTACCAGAATCTACAATTATAGATAATTAATAATTCCAATGGCATTGTTATTTTTCCAGCAATATATCCAAACATAGAATATAATGTAAATGTGGCTGAATTCTTAAAATGTAGATAGTAGATGATTTAGAGTTCAGTACAGACTATAAAAGTCAACAAAATAAATGCAAACAATATCAAAAACTATTAACAAAATAAGTTTATCATGCATATCTCCACAATATATGAAAAATAATTTATACAAGAATATTGTATGTTGTACAGAAAAAAGTCTCATCTGGGAAAACGAACCGAATACTATACTGATTGACCATCAATTTGAATTAAACGGAATTACTGTCGAGTTAAAATCATAATGAGTAGTTTTGACTTTTCATCCCGTCTTAAAAAGTGGAGAACCAGGGAGATGCATAAGTGTGAAGACAGCTGAAACTGACGTGATAGAATACACTTTGAGACTTAGAGGTAGATGAACGTGAGGTCGCAATCCATCTGGAACAGGAGAAGCTTTTCACGTAGGTTCAGATGTGGCATGGAAAATAAACCAGACTGAATTAATCTAAATGATGCCGTAAAAACTAACATGATCAGTAACACTTTTACATGGGTAAGACGCTCTTTTCAGACGGTTACTTAACACTCTTTCATATGAACTAACTTTTGCAGTGGAAAGTCTAAGGTAGATTTATTTTATTGATTGGTCAGTAGTTTTATATTCCTATCAACAGAGGTGATCTCACAACCTTTATATAATAAATCCGAATAAAAATTAAGACTACTTGTTTAAGAGAAGGTGTAAATCAGAACAACTTTTGTTACCCTTGAAAATTTGTGACAACCTACATTGTACAATAGAGAGCCTAATTTAACACTGGTGTTACTTAACTCACGCGCTATGAGCGTAGCTGTTTTTATCGATGGCACAGATGCGAAACAAGTAATATTCCGGCATGAAGTTAATTAAAATAGGTTACTGAGTTAAAAAGATTTCTTAGGAGTTATGGGGCCAAAGTGCTTGATAACTCTGAGTGTACAGATGCTAACTGGCCAGACGAGCTGATTAAATGCCTTAAATACATCGACATCTGTTGGAAAGACGAAACTATTGCTGAAGCTGGTAAAATATATTTTGATAATTTGAAAAATCAGATGTCAATGATGTTTTGGCAAGTGTTGCCTCTATTTTTATCCAACTTCCACCTGATAAATTAATTGATGCGGTTCATCTTTTTTGCGAAAAGTTACGTGATTTTTCTGGTGATAACACACGAAGACATAGGAGCAAACTTTTCCCGTGGGATTGATGTTTCTTGATCTTATATTTAGACTGAACCTTTTGTTTTGTGGACTTAATCCCAAAAGTCATCCGCGTTATGAAATATATCTTACTCTAATTGAATGTGCCGAAAAAATGGGCGTTCTAAATGAAGTGATAACTGCACCAAAAAAAGTTGGCTTAGCTTTTCATATTTCATAGTTTTAGGTTGCTTATTGGCTAAGTGAATGTGATTGCACAGTTGAGGAATGCCAGAAAGTATGGCAGAAGCTGTATGATGCACATACTTCACTGGGTGAAAGTCGGAAAGCTATTGAAGCTATGATATATCTCCTCTCAACTTACAATGAACTAACTGCTATGAATGCCAGGCAAAATGCGATAAAGTAGTATATTTCATACCATACATTCTTTCTTAGATGCATCATATCTGTGTTGCAAGATCCATCTTTATTATCTCATGATCAATTGTACGCTCTTAAACCAGTTCAGTATCTGGAAGGTGAACCTGTTCATGATGTGAGTTGTAATTCGACTATAACCTTTTCAGTTTTTCAAGATATTTGTCTCTGGAGATCTGAATACATTCAGAAACTTCCTAACTAAACATCCAAACTTTTTAAGTCAGAATAATCTATCTGAAGAAGCTTGTATTCACAAACTCCGACTTTTGACGTTAATGCAGTTGTCTGAGAATGTGAATGAACTTAGTTATCAAGATGCAGCTGCTCAGTTGAATCTCAAGATTGAAGAGCTGGAGCCATTTATAATAGAAGGTAAAATTTTAGATGTGGTTTGGTAGTTATCTGTCCCTGCAAATATTTTATCTCAGGTGTGTCCGGTGTGTAAGTTTATTTCACGCTGTCTGTAGCTTGCTTCAAGCTTAATGTCATCTAAAGTAAGATTTCAAGGGCTTAACTGGAAAAGCTTTAGTTCCACATGATACTATAACCCAGGCATAATATTTAGGAATTCCTTATACCATTTGACTATAATGGTAAACTTTATGTAGATTTGGACCGTGACTTCTTGTTAACTAACTCAACTTTATCTTGTTATCACGTGACAATTTGTTCAAAAATTATTTTCAAGATCATAGCGCTTTAAGAGTTATAGAAATTATACCACAAGTTTGGAATCCGGGAGTAAGTTATCTCAATATTATCCCATCATCTGTCCTTTCTTTCATTTTGATATACACCGAAAACGAGTTCATATCTCAGAGATTGTCTCATCAACGTAGTGCCTCAATAAATCTTAACGATGGCCTTATTAAGCTAGAAACTAAAATATACTTGGTTTCTTGGGACGAGAGGCTGTTTTTATTATGCTTGATATGGATTGATGGTTTAGGAATAGATGAAATGTCGTAGCACTAATATGGTGAGTGACGTTTTTATCGACTTGCTCCCCTAGAACACCTAATGAGATAATGTTTACTCTGGTCCACCTAGTCAAAAATTACAGGTATACGACCACACATGTTTTAAAACATCACTTTAGCGCTCTAGGAATTAGACTTAAAATCCTCATCAGTTGTGATTGCAGATGTTTAGTAATGAGCATCCATTGATCGTACCAGTGTGAAGTTGTTGGAAAGCTTAATTAAAGGTGAAACGAAAGCAGGCAAATGTTTATTTAAAAAGTGAGCGGATTGAGGCAAATATATATCGAGCGACTTGTATATTGGTTTGTTTCTGCTTGAGGTCAGATATGTCATCTCTGTTTTCTAGCATAGGTTTTTTGCTCTGACATTAACTTCAAGCTCCTTGCTTGTTCAAGTCCTTAGCGTGTCATAACGAAACATATTCTGAATGTTTGGTATTTTTAACCATGACATATTCACCATTTCCTCTGTTGATTTTGTATTTTTATTCTATTTTGGTATGGCAACTTGGGCTAACTTACATTTACTCCAGGTTCTACGTTGATTATAGCTCACCAACTGACGTCACAGCTGTGAGAAAAATGAAATCACTAGGAGAATTAAAAAATCGCTGAAAACACTAATATTTGCAGCAGGAAGACTGACCAAATTATTTTAGGAATCAAAGTAAATGAAATAAAGTCGAACAGTGTAAGATATCGTTTATCATAAAGTTAAGAACTTAGAGAAATATGTGGGATGAATTCACCTGTGCAAATGTCGTATCATCTGATCTTTAATCATAGATTCGGTTTATTTTATGAGCATCACCAAAGCACAAATCTAAAACTAACAGTCAAAAATTTCATGGGGTGTTTCTATGTTATGTTTTCACCGCTTGTAACCATTTGCTAACTATATTCTATACTATCCATTTTAACAGAATAAGACAGATGCTGCTTAGACCTAAGTATCACATATCTCAACTGCTACTATCATACGAACTAATTTACTGTTTGTACGTAGTAGTTTACGTCCTATATCAGGGTTACTTGCCATGTTGTTTCATCACGTTATACTAGTGTTTCGAGGGTATCTGTAATTGAAAACCTATGAATAACACATGTCTTTAATGTTCAGTAACGACCTTTCAAGTGCTTTAAGCAATATCGAGTGATATTTTGTGTTATTTGCCTTCTATCTTTGTAGACAAATAAATATTCCGTTTGCTATTTAAATGTATATTGACGAAATCCCGGTTTCATTTTTATGTGTTCCAAAATCTCATCAGTTCTTCAACCAACTACGGTTGGTGAAACCAACAAATCTTGGAACCAACTTTGATATTATTATCATCAAATATTTTAGTTTTCTAGTGCTTTTTTCAAGTTTAGGGCAACTACACTTTTAATAGGAGTCAGTTCAGTCAACACTGTAGAGGTTTCCCGTTTCGCATCTCATGTAACATTTGTTGAATATACCTACTCATTATTCTCTTGAACGTGATGGTGAAAAATTGTTCTATATTTTTAAAATATCGTTCATAACTGCGCATATTTTCATATCATTGATCGCAGTAGTAAGGTAACTCCTTCAGATAACCAGAAGTTTCGCTAATATTACTTTCTGGCAACTGATGGAGGTAACTAAATAAGGTTGGTTGCGAAAATAGCACACATCTTGCCCTCCGGACTCCCGGCACTGGCAGTAAGGCTTTAGGAGTACGGAGCTAACATATCTAAAACTGAGCACCAAAAGGGCTTATGTGACTGATCTAAAGGATTTTTCCATTGAAGTCTGTAACTATGGTCTCAGATCATCAAAACCACTGCTAATCCAGTTTCATTTTCACGTATCTCACGAATATGTATTTTACTGTGTGAGTAACCAGGGAGTAACGACCACCCACACCTCTTACAGCGATCATGATGACTGCAGTCTATACAACTTGAATATAATTCTGCCATTGACATGTTTATAGTATATTTAGGAATTCCAGTGTAATCGCGTACCGAAATTCTTTCGCCAATTATCATATATTACATTTGAGTTAAACCCAATATATCTTAACTCAACATTCCTGATGATCTAATTTTTTGCGAACTTTTTTGGTAATAACACTTTACGTTCATTTTAGCTGTGCGCCAGAGAGCTGTTGCATGTAAATTAGATCAAGTTCAAAAGAAAATCCTAATCACCGGAGCGTTTCCACGTACATTTGGTCGACCTCAATGGGTTAACTTGCATGATACATTGGTACAATGGCGATCTCATCTTGGTACTGTACAATCTAGTTTAAGTATGATGATTCAAAATGAATCTTCTTAAATAATTATACCTAACCCAGTAGAAAAAGAGAGCTTTTGTGCCTTGGTTTTTGATTTTTCTTATCACTTTCGTTCATGGGGATATTTTTAATTGGTGTTATGAAATCGTATTTTATTTAAAATGAGGTAACCACTGTTATATATGTAATAACTTTAGTGATTATGCTCATTCGTTCTTCACCAATGATGTTTTTAGTTGTTGTAATGGTAGCGAATTCTTATCATGCAGTTTAATTAGTTTAAAAAGTAAAAAGACAATATATAAATGGAATAATTTTAAGTTTATTGCGTTGCTGGAGTGTGTTTTCTAGACAGCGTATCTACCAGAAACTAGTGGTTTTATCACAGTGCTCAATCATATTTAGTCTCCAAGTTATTTGTATTGTATGTAATACAAATTATTTTGATCTTCATGCGATTATATCAAAATAGAAAATACGGTCTTGTGCATAGCATATCAATCGGTAACTGGCTCGACAATTAGATTTGGCTTTATGGTCTAGAAATTCGACGAAAGATACCTAGTTTTCTGGTATCTTTGAAACACTTGTCACATATAATTGAACGAAAAAATTAGTAATGCCGTTGTTAAACGTAGGGTACTAGGTAAGGGTGGAAAGTCGTTTGGTGAGTTAGTAAATATTCATCGACCAAGACATTTGGGATATATGTTAAGTATGCACAACTACCATCTATTTCGACGTTTGTCGCCGGCTGGTATCGTCGAATGCAATAGAATTTAACTGAAAACCATATAACTGGTAGGAGCGTGGCCTCTGCTTCGGATTGGGCACTCGGGCAGTATTCCACCTCCCACACAAATCAAATGGTGGTGTGGCGCATACATATTTGGTGCCTCCTTGTACCACTGTTTGTGTTCAAATAAATAAATGTACATCGATTATTATGACAGATCTTTAAACTATATGCATTAAAGTCAGAAGATAGACAATCAACTGGGGATCGATATGTATAAATCAGAAGTGCAGTGTCAGTCAGTCAGTCAGCTACAACGTAGGACCAGGCACATATGTGCATCGGTCCAGGTTGCCATACCTCATTAGCACAACAAGATGAACACCGGATTCATAGGAGTGGTTAGGTCAAAGGTTGCAATAAGGATATAGTATAGGAAGGAAGAATTAGTTCGTATGAAGTGATTTTAATCTCTTAGTTTAAGGGGAGACAAAGAGTGTATACACCGACGCCATTGTGATCGATTCTGAGCCATGTCACCAAGAGTCTCCAACCATTGGTTACGATAGTCACGCGGACCCCAACCAAGTAGTCTGCATCTACCAACATGGCTAAGACTAGAAGTTAGTGACTTCAAGCACTGATGCCACGTTTTGGTTTGGCCGCCCCTAACTTTCTTCCAACCATCCCCTACACCGGTTAGCATTGCACGTCGTGGTAATCGGTGTTCAGGCATACGTAATACGTGGCCCAACCATCTCAGTCGATGAAGATTCATAACCTCATCAACTGATTTACCATCATTCCCTAATACCCTGCGTCTAACCTCACTATTACTTACCCGGTGATCCCAGCAGATGCCAGCAATATTTCTAAGGCATCTGTGGTCAAATACTTGTAGCTTACGGGTGTCTTCTACTCTTAAAGGCCATGTTTCGCTGCCGTAAAGTAAGACAGAACGGACTGCCGCGCAGTATACTCGTCCTTTTATTGATAGACGGATATCTCGCCTTCGCCATAGGTGGCGCAAGTTGGCAAAAGCCAATCGAGCTTTTCGAATCCGTGCTGAGATTTCGTCAGACACCAACCCATTAGGGCTGATCAGACTTCCAAGATAAGTGAAGTTGTCGACGCGTTCGACTACTTCACTCCCTATCCTTAGTTCAGGTGTTGATGCAGACCAGTCCTGAAGCAACAACTTGCATTTAGAGGGAGAGAAGCGCATCCCAAACATTCTGGCATTGTTGCTCAGTGCTACCAGAAGACTCTGCATTTTGTCAGCCTCTTCACCAAACAGGACTATATCATCTGCGTATTCTAAGTCGATAAGTGGACCTCCTGGAAGGAGATCAATACCCGAGAATTCAGTCGACGAGAGTGTTATTTCCATCAATAGGTCTATGATGAAGTTAAACAAAAATGGAGAAAGTGGACAGCCTTGACGGACACCACTTGAAGTTGCAAAAGTAGATGACAGTTCGCCATAAGCTCTGACTCGACTAGTAGTGTTCGAGTAAAGAGCCTTCACAAGGTTTATGTACTTCTGAGGTACGCCTTTCAATGACAGACACTGCCACAGAATCTCGCGGTCTACAGAGTCAAATGCTGCTTTTAAGTCAAGAAAGACCACCATCGTCGGACGCCGATAGGTATGCCTGTGTTCTAGAACCTGACGAATGGTGAATATGTGGTCGATGCAGCCACGACCAGGTCTGAAGCCAGCTTGGTTCTCTCGAGTTTGTAGTTCACGAGTCTTAGTTAGGCGTCTGATAATTATCGAGGCTAGTATTTTAGATACTATGTTTGTTAAACTTATCCCTCTGTGGTTGTCACAGGATGATTTTGACCCTTTCTTATATATTGGGACGATAAGTGATTGCGACCAGTCAGATGGGATAAAGTCTAATTCCCAGATCTTAGCTAAAATGTTAGTCAACCTAATCGCTAAAATTGGACCACCATCCTTAAAGACCTCTGGAGCCAATCCATCTGGATCAGCTGCCCTTCCTCGTTTTAGATTAACTATAGCCTTTTGAACTTCAGCAAGAGTTGGGGGACCTACTTCAATGTTCCATTCACATTGTCTGGGAATGGAGGGTAGTTGTAGAGTAGCTGAAGGCCAGCTGAACTGTTCTCTAAAATGTTCCGCCCATCGTTCTAAACGTCTGGACTGGGAGCAGATGAGAGTATCATCTTTTTCCGAAATAATCTCACTTACACTTGACTTATTAATTCCAGTTTCTTTTATTAGTCTGTAAAGCTGTCTTGTGTTCCCTATAGTCGCCGCCTTTTCCATCTCTTTTGCTTTCGTTACCCACCACTGCTCACGGTCGTTCCTTAGACTTTTTCTTAACCTAGATCTGATTTGTTTTCGCTCTTCATCATGTTCAGAACCTGATGGGATGAGTTTGCGAGAATCCATCAGTGTGACAGACCTTGAAGAAATCCACTGGTTCCTTGCAACTCTGTGGTTTAAGTCACTAATAGATGTCACTGCTGTTTCCACAGCTGATTGTATGCCCTTCCAAGCAACATCTGGGTCAGCCTCGTCTTCACAACTACCTAATCGTGACCTCAGTTGTTCCTGGAACCTACTTTTGGTTTCCTCGCTACTCAGTTCGGTCCTAATGGGTCTTTTTACTGTGGCTTTTTTGCGTCCAGTGAGGCGCAAGCAGATGCGTGCCCGTATTAGGGCGTGGTCGGAGTCCAAGCAGGTACTCCAGAATGAGCGACAATCTTCTACCGACCCTCTCCAACGATGACTGATGGCAATATGGTCTATTTGAGTCTATCGTTGGTTTGGTGTAGGGGGTCGCCATGTTAGACGATGTCTCTCCTTATGCTTAAAATTTGTGTTTGCTAAAAATAAACGATTGTCTGAGCATAGCTGCAGCAGGCGATCACCATTATCTGTTCGCTGTGTCGGAATACTAAAATATCCACCTAAATGCCTTTCTGTTTGGTTTAAGCTTCCTATCTGAGCATTAAAATCACCTGCTACGAGTACTATGTCTGAGCGTTTAGCTTTCTGAAGAAGTTCGGACAGCTTTCTGTAAAATTCATCTTTCACTTCATCTGAGCTGCAGTCGGTGGGAGAGTAGACAGAAACGACAAAAAGGCAACGACGTGTGTCCCTATCCTTCCGAGTTCTTACGTAGCCGTTCAGCCGAACAGCACATAGACGACTGTTGACGGGGATCCACTCTAGCAGTGCTTGTTCGGCCCTCATGCTTAGTGCTATGCCTACACCTGCCAGTCCACGAGAACTGGCCATCGGGTCACCAGATACACGAAGGGTGTATCTCGTTGGCTCTCCGTTTTGCCGAGGTGAGGTCAAGTGAATGACCACACTGGGATCCTGTATGCGTGTTTCGGAGACACAGCATACATCAATGGAAAGAGACTCTAGGGTTTTAGCCAAGGAAGCCTGCTGACCGCTTTGACATAGAGTGCGTACGTTGAAAGCTCCAATGTGTAGTTTGGAGCGAGGTTTCAGTAGACCTGGGACAGAGTTTTGAGCACTAGAATCGTTGGCTATGGTGATACTTGAGGAGGAAGCCGAAGGAGGAAGTTTAGAGTTGAAAGTCGATGTAGGAGGAATAATAGGAATTGAAGAGGAAGGTTGATTATGAATACAGTGGTCTTGGGTGCTGTTAGAGATATGAGGGCGGTTATCACTTCCCGGTTGCCCACACCGTGGAAGGGTTCTTCTGGAGGTACCTGAAAAGGAAATTGGATTAGAGGTGGTCTCAGTGACCTGAGAGCGTGACCGCAGTGCCCAAGGGACAAGTGCTTGAGGCCGGTCGCGCACGGCCTTTTTGTGGTAGGTTTTCGACGTGTTAGCTCCGTTCTTCAAAGGGCCTTACCGCCGGAGACGGAAATCCGTGAGGTAAGGTGAGGTGTGCATTTTTAGGGTCGACCTTTTCTAACCCCACCCCTCCTTGTGGGAAGGCAGCATCGCTGTCATGCTGGTTGTCTGAAGGAAACACCTTACTGCTGTCACACCTCTGTACAGTCAGCAGTACGACTTCGCCTTCGGACCTTGGGTTTGTTGCTTTTAGTCTTACCGCTCTTCAACCGACCTGTCTGACATGGTAGGACCTTGAGGAACGGTTGTTCCAGCCAGTATAGCTCGGTTGCTTCATCACGATAGGCAAGCCCGACCACCACGTCAAGGTAGCAACAACGGTCGGGCAGTGTGAGTAATGTTTATTTATTATTTGAACACAAATATTGGTACAAAGGGGTACCAGATACATATGCGCCATACAATAAGAATGAGAAGAGATAGAGAATGTAAAGTGCGTTTAAGAAGAAGGAGACCAACAAAGAACAGAAATTAATGTCTAATAGTGAGATAATAATTGGAAAGGAAGTTCACTTAGCAAAGATACAACCAGAAAATATTCTTCTAGTTAAATAAGTTACGTCCATCTTTTATGAAGCAAGTTACAGCAGGATCACCACTGGCTTCTATTCTGAGCCATATCTAATGACGTCTCTAGCCACTGTGTTGCACCATCTCTAGGAACCCAACCAGGGAGTCGTGAAAGATCAGCAGAAGCCAGTCATGTACGTCTTCCATACCATGACACCATGTCACACACTAATCACCTCTCCGTTTATTCTAACCCTTCCTAGCGTCGGTATATAGTGCAAGACATGGGATTCTCTGGGACGACATTCGTAGAACATGTACAAGCCACCGAGGTCGATGCTTCAAGATAGTAACACCAA